GCAGATGCTGAGAGCCCGCCTTTGTGTCATTAATTACATCCCAGAGAGGCAAAGTCTGAGGTCTAACTGTGTTTTGGGCTGCCTGGGACAGAGCAGCAGCAGCAGCAGCAGGGTCTGGCAGACCTTGACCCACCAGGATGGACAGGGTTAAACGCACAGGCAAAGGTCTGTGTACCTGAGGCACCAACAGCCTCGGCTAAGGGGCTGTGGCAGCCAAAGGAAACCTGTTCTTGGCACTGTCTGGTGGCTATTACGATCATATTGACAATTTCAGGCTTTTTGGAATGCCTGGCAGCAGCCAGGATAGAGGCAAAACACTGGGTCATAAAAGGAGGCAGATTTAAGTGCCCAGGTACAGAAAAAAAGACAAAAATCCAGTCAACACAAGAAGGGGAAGGGTGAAGGAAGTCCTCTCTACCAGACATCTGCACATATTTAAAATCCTTCCCAATAAAATTCATAATGAATTTAATTCAGTCCCCTATGGCCCAGAGGAATTTTCTGAGTAATAAAAAAGTATTGCTAAGGGATAGATGACTGCCAAACTCTTATTCTCTGCCAGCAATGAATATTTATACTATTGGCACTTAAATGCTAGGTTTATTTTACTACATAAATGATCCTTTGTCACATATTAAGAATTAATATTGTGAGATTGACTTTTGGGAAGTTAGAATAATGATTCCCAAATTTAAAGTGTTGTTAAATTTGTAGGCTTTGTTTGTTAAGAGGCCTGGGCTGGATTTCAGATTAAAATAGTAGTAAGATGTGGTAATTCCTATTTTGAGGTAAACTGTTTTGTGGGTTTTTATGGTTGAGCTTTATAATGTAGTTTAAGTCAAGGATCTCTTCATGTCTTTTGTTTTGTTTTGCTTGCTACCTTGAAATATCTAAATCAATGTTAAATGAATTCTAAGCTCCTTACTTAAAGGTTGAGATGTTCTCACTTACAGAAGGTAACACAAGGGCTCCTGCCTTCTGCTGGCATTTTTCTAGTGCCCTTCTGATGATTAAACTGGAATGATTCAAATGTGACGTGGAAATTTCAAGCACCAGTGATGGAGGTTGCAGAACCACAGCATTACTTTGTTTCTAAACATTGTTATTCCATGGAAGATAAAGCTCTGCTCTGCGTCACTTCCATGCAGTGGTCAGAAAAATGGGGGGGAAAAAAGCAGAGCTACTGATCTTTTTCCCTTTAATGAGTGGCAGGCAAAGTTGGACATGAGCTGAAAGGTGAAGAATGTTCCTATCAGGCAGCAAGCTCACAGGAAAAACACATCAGTGCTGGTGTAAGATTCAGTGTGGTTTACATTCAAGCTGGTTAAGGCTGTTCAAGCACCTTTGGCACACTGCAGCACAACACAAACTCCTCGTGTCCTGGATGAAACCAGCAGCAGCTGAGCACAGAGGCTTCCCGAGGTGCTCTTCTGCCGCGCTTCCGTCTACTCCGCACTGCCATGCCAAGTGTGAAAGTTGGAAAAATATTGTGAGTCTGTCAGCATGTTTATTTGCATGGTGCATCTCCTTCGAGTCAACAAGCATCTTTTCAAAGTGTAAAAATGAACAATTAGTCATCCCAGGAAAACAACAGTTTTGCAGAGGTCCCCTCCCTCCCCCTGAAAGACAAACCTCACTGCGCTGCACAAGGGCACACGCAGCTCATTTTTCACTCGCTGTACACACTACCAAATACTCAGTTCTCCAGAACAAAAGGGTCTGAAAAATATAAGGGGGTATCTTAAGCACTTGGCAGTTTGAATTAAAAAGAAAGATCAATGCCAAGGAATTCAGATAGAAGCTGAAAAAAATCAGACATCTCAGAGCAATGCAGTTGGGCTTTAAAAGTGAATGCACACATTGTTTGCTCACAGTTTTTCGCAGCAGCATTCATAATTTAGGAAACTATTAATCAGCATGATGAAGTATCCTGTTTCTAAGCAAGAAGAAAAATAAAAATAAACTGTACAATACAGCTTATTTTCTTCTCTCTTGAAAGAGATTTTCTGGTAAAATTTGATGAGAATTCCACAGATCTGGGCTTGTGAAATTTGTGTTTAAGTTGTACCAGAGAAAAAGCCCCAGTGAAGCAACAGAATCCTTCCACAGCCTTTTCATAAGGCTCATCACAAGTCACAGCTCAGGGGGCCTTAGTTTCTTTTGGCCCATGCCAGGACTGATACCCTATAGCTGTTAAGCTGACAGCAGGAAAAGAGCGCTGAAGGCCACAAACATTTGCAGGATTAATACAAAATTCAGATCAACTTTTGACAGAGGCACAGCAGGTACAGAACAGCGAGGCAAGGTGGCAGGGGAAAAGCAGGGCAGCAAGCAAAGGGACAGGAAGGGGACTGTGGGACTGAGAGCAAAGAAACAGTGGCTGAGAGTTATAATAGGCAAAGAACTGAAAATGGCAAAGGTTTTGGCAATGGATTTACTGCTGGCCTGCCAACAACAGCCCTCCAGGTTCTTAAGCCAGTGCTGTAAGTTTAAGATCCTGTACTTCCCCATCCCAACAAAGTTATTCCAAGAGTAAGTGATTTCAGAAGCAAGGGATCCAAAGCACAGGTTTTATTTGGTAGCTCATTCAGGGTGATAATAAATTCGTTAACGTAATTATCCCTTTTATGGAAAAAAAAATTTTTAAAGGTATTTCATACCTTTTCTTTGCTTGGGGGTACTGGTGGTGAGAAATTGGACATACCCTGATGAATCCCTGGCAGTTTCAAAGTTACAAAAAATCTTTCTTCTATTTTCTGCCTCCTTTTCCTGCTACATTCACATCTTCCTGCTAGTGAAGCATCCTTTTCCTGGCTTCAAATACCTGCTATTTCCGAATGGCATTGCTACAGTGACCCGTGGGGCAATGTGGCTCAGCCTAGAGGAGTAAGAATTGAACAGCTTCTGTGCTGCTGTTGGGAGCAGAGCTCAGGCATTGGATGAGGTTAACAAGGTGACACAGAGAGAGCTGCCCCACCAGAACACTCCCTGCCGTGGGGAAACAGCCAGGCTGCAGCTTCTGCTCCCTCCCAGCGTTCGTGTAAGGCACGGTTCCTGCAGAGAGAGAAGCAGAGAGGGGACAGTGAGCTGGCAACTGCACTGCTGGGCGGTGGGGGAGCAGCAGCAGGAGCGGCTCTGTGTACCTGGGATGTCACACACGGTGTCAGGACTCGCAGGGCTGGCACACAGGAGCAGCAGAGGATGGCACTGGGGAGCCAGGTGCCCTGCTCCTGCTCCATCTCCTGCCTGGGAACAGCCAGCTCCGCTCCCTGACGTGTTCCTGCAGGGCTGCTGCTCCGGCAGCACCGCCGCGCCTTGCGGAACACGCTCCACGCAGGCACAACTTCCAGACATCCAACACTTCAGCCACCCCTTTTTAATGCCATTAGTGATGCAGCAACATGTATTTATATTTACATATAAATACAAAATGGTCAGATACCACATTTTAAAGCATAATTTACAATCTGAAACTGCTTACACTTTCATGACTAGGCTTGGGTTTTTCTCATTTACATTCATCATTTAATTCCACTGGAATTTGATTTTTAAGAAAGCCCAACATATCTTAATTACCATAAAAAGATCCGTTCACATTTTACTTAAAAATAGCTTCTGTAAGAGGAAATCTACCAAAAATAACACGAAATATATTATTATGCATACATTTTCTTTTTTTGTAAAGTACAAACAAGAATCTGATCTCTTCTGGGTATTGCCTGATCTAATATGGCTATAAATTCTATTTATTTTCTTTGTTTTTCAAAGTAAAGGGAAAGACAGAAGAAATGTAAGAGCACAAACCAAAATAAAACCGCATTCTTCCCAAAGACACAGATGATCAGAGAAAGAACACTTTGAAAACTAATAAATGACAACAGGTACAAAGAAACACCGTCCAAGCGCTATGCAGTGTTTTGTCTGAGCATGTGCCGCAATGACCTTGTAACAGTTATTAAAAACAACAACCAAAAAAATGCTACTGGCAGAAAAAGCTGTCAAGCAGAACATTGAAAAACTGGTACCACTTCCTAACAGGTAAGTGCAGAACTGACAGTATTTTATGTGTCTTCCCGCATGTACGCAGACCTCTTTCTCCCTCTCTCTGCCCGCAGGACTGATCGTTGTGACCCTGGCGGTTTGCTGGATGCCAAACCAGGTCAGAAGGATCACGGCTGCTGCTAAACCCAAGCAGGACTGGACCATCACCTACTTCAGAGCCTACATCACCCTCCTTCCCATCGCCGACATCTTCTTCTACCTCAGCTCGGTGGTGAACCCGCTGCTGTACAACATCTCCTCCCGGCAGTTCCGCAGCGTGTTCCTGCAGGTCCTGTGCTGCCGCCTCACCCTCCAGCATGCCAACAGGGAGAGGTTCCTCAGGGCCAACCAGAGCTCCGGGGCGCGCAGCAGCCGCTCCCTGCGCCCGCTGCTCTTCATGTCCTCCAGGCGCAGCTCTTCCACCAAGGGCAACGCCAAAGCTTTCCTGAGCACCTTCCAGGGGGAGCCCACGGCCGGCTGCAGCCCACAGGAGCCGGGTCCTGCATCACCAGACCCCAGCCTGGAAGCGGTGCCCCTCGAGGCTGGCTCAGAGCCCGGCCAGGGCGCACAGAACGGCCTTTGTGAACACCAAGTATGACTTCATAAGGCAAAGTTAATGCTTAGCAATGAGCTCAAAAACATGGAAATGGAAATGACCCACGAAAGTGACAGCATCGCAAAAGGAATAACACAGATGGATTTGTTTCCAGTTATGCAGAAGGAACAGGAGTTCTGTATCCTGCTGGGATTTTTAAGTGCACACTGGAAATTCAATCTGCTAACTGAACTCATTAGCTGACAAAAATATCAGCCCCTCTTCTCCACACAACCACTGAACTTTCCTTGCTGTTGACAGGGATTTGGAAACAAATAGAAAATAATTGCAGCGTCTTTGAAGAAAGAAGGATGCAGGACAAATTGTGTCAGGGCAAAAAAAAAACAAACCCAAACAAAACCAAACCAACTTGCTTGAAGTTTAGCAGTACAAAAACAGCAGAGCAAATTTAAGAAGCAGAAGTGTAGTTATCACGTGTGCCCTCGGCACCACGGCAGAGTTCCCCCTCTTCTTGGGCCGGGGTCCATTGCAGAGGGGAGTGTTGCAGCAGCTGATGCAGACGGAGTTCACCTTGCCAGGGGAGCAGAAGGACTGGTAGCCGGCGGAGGCGATCAGACACGCTGCCGAGGAGGCGCAGGACTTGCGGTACATGATTCCTGTGACACAGAACAAGGGTTACTGCGTTTGAGGGGAACACTTCACAGCAGGATTCGTGCTCAAAACCAGCTGCAAACCCAGTTTACATCCCCAAAGCACCGCTGTGCTTAGGGCAGACACCTCAGTAGTGACGGGATCTACAGCCCTGCACTGCAGGAGCATCACGGTCGCCCTGCTTGGGATTTCTCTGTAGATCGATTCCGGTTGGAACCAAAAATATTACAGACTTAATTTGCATAATGTATATCAAATGATGCATTTTATAACTGGAATTCTTCATCTTTCAGAATAAACTGTTTGAATAGCTATAACTGAAATGCAATTAGTGAGAAAATTAGTTTTGTTTCTATTGCTGAACATGTCTGAGTTAAGGTGTCTGAGTAATTACAGCTTTCTATGCTCTTAATTTGTCTTTTAAGAATTTTTTCCTTTTCTTGCTCCTTTGCCACACACAGACAAGAAACCAAGAGTGAAAAGAGGATGATTATCAGCAAAACTTTCATCCTACTTCCTCCCCTTTTAATTTATTTTTTTTGAAGAAGAACTAGAAGTACTTTTCCAGGTAATCTCAGTTCCTGCTTGTCTTTGAAGTTCAATATCCTCAATAACAAAAACTTCCATTTCTACAGAAGTGTCTTTCTTGAGTTGAAAGTCTTCCCTTTTTGAACGTAATTTAAGGTAATTTTAATTAATAAGCTAATTTTTAATTTCTCAGATTGTTTTTAACTGAAAAAAGTACATTCTGATGCATGTACTTTTAGCTGTCATTTTAACATGGTTTATAAAGGCTTTAAAATACACAGTTGTATTTTCTTCTGTCACAGCAGAAAATGGTTATGGCAGTTCCTCATCTCATTACTCCAAAAATTTCCTGCAAGTGATACAGTAGAAATTGTGTCTTAGAAAACCATACACATAATAGAAAATAGATAATGGAGGCTTGCCTGCTTATAGTTACAAATAGACGTAGGGATACTCCTAAGGATGATAAAATCACTATTCCTTTTGAATATGGGGTTTTCAAAAACCCATTATTTTTTCCCTCCTGGAAAGCAAGGGAACAGGATTCCCTTGGAGAATGGTGCCTTTGCATCCTGTGGCATGGTCCCAAAATGTCTTTAAATGCACAGTGATTGATACTTTTTTTGGAGGGAGTGAAGTGGGAGTATGGCCAGCAGGTACTGGATGTACAGTGCCTGCAGACACTTCTTCAGTCCCCAGGGATTTAATAACCACTACAGCACCTCCATGGTCCAGGAGAAACCTCTCCAATTTGGCATCAGCCACTGCACCTCTGAGCACTGTGAGTAGCAGCAGAACAACCTTTGTTTGGGCTGTGCTCAGGAAGAAGGATTTCCTGTCTTCAGAGACTTTTAATTAAAAGCAATTCTTTTATACTGTCACAACACTGCTGCCATCCCAACAATGCAGGGGTTTCCTTGTTTTGTGTTCTCCCTCTGCAAATCTCCACTCTGAAACGTGTTTTTAGGCTATCTATCTCGTTAAACTTATGAAGAGAAGCCCTCAAGTGAGCGTTAAATCTTCCTCAGTCTCCAGCGAGCTTCAATCAATCAACACAGCAGGTAGAGCCTTTTCTCAAGAAGGAAGAGGAGCTGTGGGCTGTTCTCCCTGTAACAGCAAAAGCTCACAGATCAAGCAATGCAATCTTTATTACTACAGTTTGCAAAAAGAAGGGAGTTCTGTCTCTGCTGACAAACCACTGCTGTCAAGGAGCCTCAGTGGTGCTGCCACTGATCGGCTTTACAATGCCAAAATCTCAGCTCATGTTCCCTAAAAAGACCTGGTGCTTTGTCCGTGTTCCTCCTGCAGTCTTCCCAGTGCACAGACAGATATGGCCCTTCCCATGGCTACAATTAATGCTTTTTCTTCCTCTTCCCTCTCGAGAGAGGACTCCTGTATTCAATTAAAACAAGCACAATAACTGTTCTCCATTCCCTAATCCCACATCTCCCCATCACAGATCATTTCCCTGAGCAACAAACGCACACCAAACTCAGCCACTCCTCAGTCTTCCATATGAACAGCAATGAATTTGACTTTCCCCTCAAAGACCAAGCCTCTAAAAAGCTTTTGACCCTGGCAGATTTCCTATCCCCATCATTTTATAGATCACTCTCTTCCTGCCATTTCCTATTCACAGGTTTCCTGCAAAGCTCTGTTCACAACTTGAGCTAGTGATTTATTAATTTGGATCCCTGAAATATCACACTTTGCACTTCTCCCATAGATTGGGAGACTAGAATCATTCACTGCTCTGAACAATCAGATGATGCCCTCTGAGGCATGGTTTTCACCAGGCAACTCCAGGAAACCTCTCACGAAAAATATCAAAGTCCTGCAGCTTAACTCCACGTGTTTACAACAGATCTGTTCTCCAGGATCAATCCTACAGAACAATCCTGAACTCCTTTTGAAGTCAAAACACAGTATTCCTGCACAGACCGAAATTTTACTACTCCAAGTTTCATGAACAGATGGACCATGTTCACACATAAATAGGGAGAATAATCTGACTAGTAGCAAAATCCCCTTGTAATACTTCTCCAGTGGCTTTTCAGTAAATGCCTTACAATAGGAAATTTCACACCCAAATGATTGTTTATTCCCATTCCCTGTTCTAGTAATCTAAATTTTAGGAAGATTTTTTACATGAAAAACTCAGCATTTCCATCAGGTTTTTAACAGCCCCTTTGCTGACAGCATGCCCTTCACATCCAAGATTTTTTTCCTTTAAGATTAGATTCTCTGCTCTCACAAACCAGCTGCTATCACACTAAGTGCTTTTTGCAAAGCATCAGGTATGAAGCAAGCTTGATCAGCATAGAAGGGCTGTGCTCTCTCTGGTTCTGTGGTATCTTGACAGGAAGACAATGCAAGCAGGCACAGAAGTTGGTGGAAGAAGAGGGAATGTTAGCACTGCAGGAGTGACATTCTTAAAACACTTGTGCTGTGACTTCACTTACTCTTAAACCTTCTTCCTACCGTAATTCTGGTAGGAAATACAGCAGTACAATTGACTTTCATGATCTGATGGCAGGGACACCATCTCCTTTCCCCAGCAAACAGGTTCATGGGCCCCAGTAACTTCAGCTCACTCCGAGTACAGCCAGGACAGCAGCCCCCGCTCTGGGTTACACCCAGAGATCTCTCAGACTCCTCCTTTGCAGCACTGCTGAGCCAGCTCCAAAACGATCCCCAAGATCTCCCTGAATCATTTGCCACCAGCAGGCTGAACTGCAGACAGCTCTTCAAATGGTTATCTGCCTCATAAGACTCATACCACAGACATTACTGCTAATTACTGGGTATTCTTGCCTGAGCAATCAGCTTGATGCATTCATTAACATATCACCCAGAAAAATAATTGCAAACCTTTCTGGAAGCTTTTCCTCTACCTCAGATTGTTCTGAGTCACTGGCTAAGCAAGGAGACTTCACTTTTTACACTGCTTTTGCTGGGATGGGGTCATCCCCAGCTACCCACCCTCAACAATTGACACCAGTGATCAATTAGCATATTTACAACTACTCAATTAGTATATTTATTGCCCAATTACTTGATGGATGAATACAGAGTAATTTGTCCTTTTTCACAGATTCAGCAGACTCCCAACAACAGTTTAGGTACTGTAAGGATGTCTTACTGCAAAGGACCTACTACTGAGGAAAAGATTTTCCTTTATTTTGGCTTCAAGCTTTGTGGGATGCAGATCAAGAACTTTTAAGAAAAGAGGAGAGTATACAGAACTAAAACAGCTGTGTGATAACATGCTAATATCCCACACCCTCTCCTGTCACATATACCTACAACAGCCACCTTTGTTATCAGGGTTTTGTGTTTTGTTTGTTTTTAAGGCGATTTGGGCTTAAATTTGGCATTGAAAATTTATTTCTAGACTAAGCAAGTTGCCCATCGTTACATTTCTCTCTGCCCCACAAGTGATCACATATTTAGACAGTGTCAAAGCCCAAACTACTGTTTCTGCCTCATTCCTTGCAATGAAAGGATGGGTGTAAATCTTAAGGCTTCTCTATAGTTCCTACTTGCAATATTTATTTTCGCAGCTGGATCCAGTCTAGTCCTGTGCATCTGCACCCTGGCACTGTTTTGGCCACAAGCAGGTGCGTTCTGTCTTGACTGAAACAAATAATTTGAGCAATAATTTATTCAAATCCAGAAGTGAGTGTTCTTTCCTCTACCCTGTCTGAACAGCCCAGTGCATTTCTCTTGAATAACAGCTTAACTTGTTACTAGGACAACCAAAAAAGGTGACATCACACCTACTTCTTACACTGTGTTTATGCAGAAGGCACCAGAAGATCCAAGGTTTTTCTCTTACTGATTGAGAAGGATCTTATTAGACACCTCTGATTCTTCTGTTCTAGGAGGTACAGACAAAAAAGATGCTGTGTAAGCATGACTCTCCAACTTTTAAGAGCCAACCACAATCCAAGCAGTGTGCAACTTAATTTTGCAGCTGTACTCTCAAGAGTGTCCTCCAGCAAAATGCACAGAGGCTCTATGAAGTCAAAACAGGCAACCAGGGTATCACCTCTGAGATCAGTGACCTCATTTCCAAAAAGAGTCACCTTCCCACTCCTATGACCCAGCTACTCTGAAACTGCTTTCTGCAATGGCACAGCTCAGCAGGAAATCACAGCCCTGTCCTCCACCCCAGGACCTCATGGCCACAAAACCCTCCCCTCTCTGTTTGCCTCAGTCAATGGGACAAGCCCCACACTGAGCTTTCCAAGCCAGATCTTCTCTGACCTTGTGGGCTGTGACTGACACTCCACTTTTTCAAAGGGAGCTTTTTCTACACCGTTTTGTATCTAACCAATTTCACAGGCACGTGTGAAGTCAGTCTGGTGCAGCTCACTCCACAAACAGTGCAAAATCCCCTGCACATGCTCGCAGCAAACCTGCCACCTAAATCTTCTGGAGCTTAGAAAGAAGTCTGTGTCCAACTAGGACTCAG